GATGTATTAATGAAATAAAAAATATCTTTTATCTAGATATTGAGTGGAGAAATGAATGATTAGATGGGAAACCAGAAGTAGTGTTTACTTTAAAATATCATTAGGAAAAAGAGTTGGGAAGTCATTTTTGTATTTCGTTGTTTGTAGTGTCTAGATTTTAGATATATTAGATGTACTAAGTGTTTTATGTTTTATGTGTTGTTATGTATTGTTAAGAAAAGCATAGTACAGTATGAACAGTGTATATGTATAATTAAGTTTTAATAAAATAAAAATTAATTTTTAAAAAACCAACAAGTCTTTCACCGTTCCTTTCGTTAATACATTTTTAAAAATAATAGCCTGAAATTATTTAGACTAGAGTGCAAGTAAAGTATAGGAAGGCTTAAGTTTATCTTTTATTATCCTCAATACATATTTGACTTTGGACTTGTTACAGCCAATATTCTGCAGCAATAGCAAGTTTATTCTTTCTTCCATAAAGGCTACATACTATGTGGCCTAAAGACAATTTTTATGTATTTAGGGTGGAGTTACCAGTAAATATTAGTATTCAAGCCACTACATACTTCTTAATCTGTTCCAGCTTGCTCTCTTCTGCTTTGATGTAGTCTTTCAGTGAAGTCACCAGGTCTTTCTCAGTATTAATTAAGTCAGTCATGTGTCCTAAAAATAATTTAATGCAATCATTACATTTATGGTTACTGTCATACAGTTTTTACCAATGAAGTTTGAAAATCAAAAAAAGAAAATATATAAAACATTTACAGTTACTTTGCACACCCCAAGACTTAAAATGGTTTCTTCCTATTGTGGAAATTTGAAACCAATATTCATTCATTTTGCCACATAAGGGGATAGTGTGATGTAGTGGTTTGAGCACCAGACTACAACTCTGGAGATCAGGGTTTGATTCCCTCCCTGCTCTGCCATGGAAACCCACTGGATTACTTTGGGTGAGTCACAGCCTCAGAAAACCCAATGACAGGTTTGCCATAGGGCCATCATAAGTCAGAAATAACTTGAAGGCACAACAACAACAAGGAGATTATGATATCATTGTTGTTGCTGTGAAGCTTCAGGTCATTTCTGACTATTATTATGGAAGCTGGATGCAAGCTGTAAGGCACCAATCCCTTTCACCCCATTATCTTGAAAATGTTGCAACATCATTTCATATTTCATAATGATTCAAATTAAATCACCCTAGCATACAACCTCTATGAAATGGGATTTTCCCAAATGTTAAGTTTTTTAGGTGGTTTAATAATGCATTAAAAGTTTCTGGTAGTTTTGCCTTCTGATGCACAAAATGGGTGATTCCATGTAACACAAAAAGCCATGAACTCTGACTTGTTACATACACAAAAGCATGCTGGTGCACATCACTCGTTCTTGCAGGAGGAGCAGCTTACACAAGTATTGTGTGAACAGAGCCACCTCCCTTTCTCTGGCTTGTTTCCCAACAAATTACAGAAACAAACTAAGAATAAATGTTGGATGCTTTGGTCTGTTTGAGTGAAACAAAACGCAGAAGGCTACAGCTGCACAGTTTGTGTAGCCTCTCCCCCTGTTGCAAGCAGGAGTGATAGAATAAAGTGTACCAGCGTGATGCTTGTACACACCAAGTCAGGGTTGCCATGGATTCCTGGGTTTTCATGCAAATATATCCATTATAGGTAGCCATGAAATAGATTTAGAACTTGATGCTGACTAGTAAGCCAACAGTCAGACGTAGCTTTTTCTTCAGCCTCTTCCCCACTTTTATACTTTATGTTGGTACCACACCAATAGATTTGGCAGGAAACTAGATAATTCCACCATATAGCAAACAAGTGGTTAACATGCTGCAATCACTTTTACTCTTTCTAACATACCTCTAAAATTCTTTTTTTTTTCCTTCCACGTGTTTCCCACAATTTCCATTATATGTCTATGCTCTTCTTATTTTTTTAACATACCTGGGGGAGCTGGTAACGCAGGTTTATCTGTCCTCATTTTGCATTTTATGCAAGCTCAGTAAAGGATTCTGAGGGGAGCTGCTGTTTACCTTTCTTTTTGTAGGCAGGGACACACTGCTACAGTAGGATTAGACAGTGTAAAATCCTGCTTTTTCCTCACTTTAAGCTTCATTGCATCGTTAACTGCAGACATACTACTGTAACCTGACACTGAAAATCTTTTTTCTCCAGCCCTCCTTCACCATGCTCCCATTGCCAATGCTGCTAAAATACCTTTCAGCTAGACGGAGGACGAAAAAAGGGGGCTGGGCAGGCATAGAAATATTTTGTTAAAAGAAGCATCTTTGTCAGAGGCTTTGGTACTGTCTGCACTGCCCCTGGAGTATCCTGGCACGGGAGCTGCCCTGACCTCCCCACATTACCTTAGCCCTCCCTTCTGATGCTGGGTGGCTGTTTGCACATGGCTGGGTGCTTGTTCTGATCTCAAAGCAAGTAACTGGTGGCAACAGCAGATACACTGACTGCCACAGTAGGACATCTGTGGAAACAGCTGCCCAGCATCAGACAGAAAACTCTGGATCTTCTGGGAAGTTCTGGAACAACTGGGAACTTTTTAAAATCCATGGAAAGAGGGATATACCCAGATTTGCTGTTGAACAGCCTCGACATACAGACTGTTTGAACCAGATTCAGAGATTGCACCATCCAGTCTCCCTGTCAAGAGGAAGCGGGGAGGTCAGTATATTTGTCCCATGCAAAAAGGGCCTTTGTTAACTGAAGTATGCCTATAATCCACAAACAATATTCCATTTACAAACAAACTGCCACCACTATTCACCTAAACAGATAGCATTTCAGTGATTTCCAATACCATTTTATTTCTTCTTGAGATCTTTTTGTTACTGTAATTTATATTAAATGCTAGTATTTTTTAACTGAACATTTAGACTTTATCACTGATTATGTTTTAGCTTCATTATCATCATTAGATGTTGGAAAGAAAATAATAATGCAATTGTGTTCTCAGTTATTGCTGAGGCCCCTTTCGACTCAGTGATTCTATGATTACTGAACTATTCATATGTTCTTGACATGTCTACACAAAATTACTGCTTACCAATTGAAGTGAAGAAATCTGTATAGGCATAAGAAGAAGGCAACAGAATGCCAAGAACGAGAAGACACCATGACTTTGTAAGCCCCATAATTATTACTCGTTCACCTTAACACACACCTGAGAAGAAAAATAAAGTTAACATTTTAAATACAATATTGGAATGCAAATACCATTTAACCAGTTTAAAGCATTTGGAAATGATATGGCTATGGGCAATGAAAACAGCGGAGAGATATACACGAAAGTAAAAGAGTGTAATGGTGTAATGGTTTGACTACAACTGTGATGATCAACATTCAAATACCTGCTCGGCTATGGAAACACAATGGGTGACCTTGGCCAAATCACACTCTCTCAGCCTCAGTGGAAGGTGAAGGCAACCCCCCCCCAACTCCCCAAACAAATATTGCCAAAGTCACATTAGTTGGATCAACTTGGAGGCATACAAGAACAACAAGAGAATCATTAGTATACACAAACACCACCTGTAGAACATGCGTTGTACATATCTGTAAACAGTACCTTTAGATTACAGTCAGGGAAATTTGCCTTGTAATTTTGAGCATTAACAAGCAGCATTTGCCCTATAGAGTGTTTGTTCCATGAAACATCAGTATTAAGTAAACATGTCCTAGATTATAAATATTTTCCCAGGACTATGTGTCAAATATTGTACTGAAAGTACTTGTAGTTCTTCTGAAAATGAAAGAAACACAGAGAAAATTTTTAGAATATTTTTTAGCCTTGCCAACATTAAATGCTAAAGGAAAAGGATTAAATTATCAGAATGTATCTCTCATCTGTAAAGACAAAATTTCATGTTCAGTTCACAATCAGTGGCCACATATGTTCTGGAACTTTGGCTTGTCACAAATTCTGAGCATGTGTTTGCTTGTGCTTCCACATATGCTTCTCCTACAAATGTCGTTTCCAGAAATTTTTAAGCCACAGGAAAGAATGATTTCCCTCATGGTTTCTTTGGGTGGGGAGAGGGGGAAAGAACAGATTTGTGGGAGATATTTTAAAAACTGAATTCATATTTTTCTACACTGTGCAGATAAAAAGTCACTTTGTTGTTTTCAGAACATAAAATGTATCACGTATAATTTGGTTTACTCATAAAATTATGTTTGGTTTATTTCATTTAAAAATATTGGTATTTCAGATAGCAATCAAAAAATTTATTCAATTTACTTTAAAATGGTTTTAGAGCTTTTGTCTTCAAATTTCTGTTGTAAGTGGAGGTACAAGCTGCTGAACACTAACAAATCTCACATCTCTCAGGCTTTGCAAGTATATGAAAAGCAGACCACTGCATACATTTGAAAACAAACAAGAAAAATAAATGTATTCTGAGCATGACAATTCTACAAACAGAAATATATATGTCTCTTTCCAATTGGGGAGGTGAATAGGGCAAGGTCAAATCCCTGTGTTATCTCCAATCAATATTACATATATTTCACATGCTGCTTGTTAATGCTCAAATAACATATATTTCACATACACCCTGGGTCCTGTCTGCACTGGCCAGGATACACCAGATGCAGCCCAGAGTATCCTGGCCCCACAGCTGCTCCAACCTCCCCATTACCTCAGGCCTTCCATTCTGATGCACAGGGGGGATGTAGATAGGTGGCCCTGGGCCGCCCTGGGAAGCTGAGGATCAAGGCTGAGGCTGCTGGACACCGTGGCCCTAATCCTCCCTTTCACTACCTGCGAAAGGAACGCTAAAATAGTGCTCCTTCCGCAAGCCGTGAAAGGGGCGCCACAAGAGGAGTGGCACGCCTCTTCAGTGTCTCTTCCGGCTCAGTGTGTCCGGACGCTGAGCCAGAAGGACGTCATCAGAACACCTGTCATTGGAGGGCCATCGTTCCGATGATGTCCTCAAGAAGGGGATGGGGCGCCCAGCATCCGGCTGCCCCTCCCCTTCCTGGGATTGAAGACGGCGCTTTTCGCCATTTGCATCCTCCCACAGTTGGGTGGAAGGTTGTCATTTGTCCCAGAAAACTAGAAAATCCCAAATTGAAGGGACTGAAAATGTCCCAGCTGGCTGGGCCAGTTGAAGCAGTGAGTCCTGGATTTCTCCTTTGTAGCAAGCCAGTGGATAGGTTAAAATATGGCAGTGGCAACAAAGCAGGAAGTTGTACAAAAAGACTGACACTGGCAGGAGCCTCATCCCACGCTGTGCAGGCTACTGCATAGGGGTAGCATTGCCACCTTATTCTTCCACTCCCTCCCCACTTTCCACAACAGGCCCAGAAGGCAGGAAAGGAAAGAAGGCAAAGAGAGATGGCCTTGTGTTGTGTGGCAATTGTGTTGGTGGCTTGAGCCTAGGGCAAAGCAGCACAAGTGGAACTTTTCTTCCAAACAGCCTTAAGAGAGAGGAAAGGGGCTGCTTGGAAGCCTCCCTCTCTTCACAATAGCTAAGTGTGTGTGTGGGGGGGAGCTCTTAGCTTGGTTCTGGTACTGAGGTTGAAACATAATGGTAGAAAAAGTGCAATGATTAATGTGTGGAATTTGGATAATCAGAATAAATTAGTAATATGCATAATTCTAAACATTTGTATAATATGCAACTTAGGGCCTTTGCAGACTGCCAGAAATAGTGCACATTAAATTGAGGCACTGCCCTGGCTCAGTGCTAGGGAGTCATGGGAATTGTATTTTTTTCTGGGACATTGAGCCTTCTCCATCAGAGTGCTCTGGTGCCACAATAAATTACAGTTCCCATGATTCCCTAGCACTGAGCCAGGGCAGTGCCTCAATTTAATGTGCACTATTTCTGGCAATCTGCAAAGGCATTTAGATGCCAAGATAGGAGGGACTGGAATATGGCAACCCTAACTGGGAG